TCTATTCACACTTTGAGTCATAAGCAGCCTCTATAAATATTTCAGTGAAACATGTTTACACGGAGACTATTCCCCTCATCTGGGATGATGCTTACTTACAGAAGTATTCTACTCGGACAAGCATGGGGAAAAATCCTTTTGTGCAGGAAAATGTCACCTTTCCATGTCTCCCCAACACACACACTCCTACTTGCTCAGCCCATCATTTCAGATGAGATGAGCATTAAGCAGTTTCAAGATTTCTGCTCATATGAAGGCAAAAAGAGTTCAACACCTTCTGAAAGGGAGAAAAAAAGGAGAAAAAAGTTCTATCCGGGAGGATTTAACCTCATTGTGTGCTTCATAAAAGATCATACTAATATGTAAGATATGTAAACATCATAGAGCAATCAGAAACAAATGAAATGATGAATTTGGTTTAACAATATTCAGCTGTGGTGCAACTGCCAGAAGGCACTTTTTGTTATGAATAGATCATTTGGATGAGTTACAGACCAGATTTCAACCCTGGCATGTGCTAGGAAAATCAATGTCAAACTATCTAAGATCAGAAGGTATCAGCAGCACAGCTGGCAGCCCACAGAAAGGAAAAATGTCTTTAGAATATATAATGCTATATAGAACTAAGCTAAAGTATGAAAGGACCTGCTTAAATGGCACTAATACGAGATCTGTAATGTATTTAATTTAGTTTAGCCCTTCCCACTTGCCTCTCCCTCTAAAACAAAAACAGGCAAAAAAATCCACCTCTATTGTAAGAGTCTATGTGGAAAAAAGCACTATTTCCCACTTACAGACTAACTTACAGATCACGTTAGTGAATCCAAGGAGTCAGTTCAGCTTTCAGGACTGTCATTTGGTACAAGGAGCGGAACAGAACACAGACCTTCACAGACGAGAATCACCCAGGCATACAGCCATCCCATAAAATGAGCAAGTCGCAATGTGAGATTTATTTTACTTAGCTTTGTTTTGCTAGACTAGCCATAATGATCAGGCACATGCTTGTGTTTCCTCCTCAGTT